TTATTTCGCCATTCTGTGAGATTCTGTATACTAATTTGGAATGTTTGTATTTGGTTTAATGGGTGTTTGGAAGGCAGGTCATGGTTTTATTCACATTTTTTTTTCTATGTAATTGAAATGAAAACTTTGCTGCCTTACTATACAGGAATTGTGTTGGAGGCACGTTTTGTGACGGTTTAGGTTGAGTTGAGGGGATATTTGGGAAGAAGTCCTTGCTATATCCTGCCAATAATAAGATAAAGGGGATATGTTAGTGGTCATGGGGTTGGCTTATCCTGAATCAAAATACGAGGACAAAACACAATATGACCACGGAGGATTATGACGATTCCCTGCACAATGATAACCAGATATATATGGCCGAATGTCCACACTAGTGCTCGTACTGAATCCTCTTCATCAAATTCATTCATAGGCAGATGTTTCACCCACATCCACCACTTTGACCTAACTAAAAAACCCCAAAATGGATGTAACGCGTAATCCACTGGTGAAAACAAGGAAGAGAACACGAGTCTTCTTGTGGAATATGTAAAAGTGAAGGCAGTTAAACTGGTTGTATTCGCAAAGAAAGAGTCCGCGGGGAATGTTTATATAAAATAGTGCATCTGTATATATATATATATCTGAAGCAAGAGAAACCTAACTTGGCAGGCAGAAAATAAATGGGAAGAAAAATTCAGGACGCAACGGTTACAAAATCATAAGAGCTCAGAAAGCCAAACCAATATGAAGGAAGAGCTCATGGGGCAGAAAAGCACTATCCTTTAGCAGAAAAAACAAGAACAGATAAAACCGTTAATCGAAAAAGCCCACCCATATAAAAAAAGCAGAACGATACCACGCCAGCGCACGGGAAAAGCCTCTGGGAAAAAAAGAAAACACTATAGAAAAAGGTGGTTGTAATTAAAACAGGTCAGGTATTGGAGTAAAAAAGAGAAGTAGGAAAATGATATTTAATGAAGTCAAAATCCACTCAAGCCGAGCTGAGATTTGCAAAGCACATTTGCCACGTTCCAGATTTGGCTTTTGTGTATGTATTGAGATAAAAAAGAACGCCAGAGAAATGCCCCGATGTGTCAAGTCTTTATTAAGTTTCCATTTTCCGTTCGGAAATGGACATTTAAAATCATTAGTAGATATGACATAATGGCGAGAGAAAAGGTATGAAAGTGGTCGGGAGGTAGGAAGGAAAGAGTGGATGAGGTTTTTTTAAGGAGGGAGTGTAGAGAGTAAATTGAAGTAGGGTTAGGGTTGTCGGATTTATCATTCAGAAAGGTAGCAAAGGGAGAGATAGGTAAGGGGGAATGGTAATAAGTAAAGCACAGCAAGAATGGCAAGGCTGGCTGCGATGTATAGAGATATGTATAATTGGTCCAGAATAAATTTCCGGTATCGGCAATGGCAGATGATGCACTCGAGCATTTTGCTTTGTGTTGTATAAAAACTCCCTTATGAGAAACCCTAAGCTGTTTATAAGTTTAAACGTAGATTTAAATCTTCCAGAAAACTCCATCAGAATGCACGTTGTCAGTACACCGATGACTTGTCCTCGCTCGCAGCTAGAGCGACTTCACCTTCATGTTGCATCCAATGGATAATGTTCCGAAGATACTCGTATGTGAGCATTGTAGTCATAGCGGATGGCAAAGCACGGAACAAATTCGTTCCGATTCCAGCATAAAAGGCCCGCCAGCCCTCTTCCGCTAGGATTGTTTGGCATGTGCGAATCACACCGCGATATCGGGGTCGGTTAGGCATCCCATCCGAGGATGAGGCGCCAGCACCAGTGCCTGGTGGCCGGCCATGATCCTGCGGTTGTTCAAGGCCACCTCTAAAAGCGATTCCTTCAGTTGAAAAGGCAGGGGATGATCTTTGTTGTGTCTGCAGTCGGGTTCTAAGGACTTCGTGGGGATATGTTGCTGTGCTTGCGCATATTTTGCTGAGGAAAGTGGCGGCACTGATACCGGCCCAGTGGGGATTTCCGGCGTCGGGGTGTTCACCAATCCCATATCCGGTGAAAGCCATTTTGAAATATTCGTATAGGGGAAACTGGATGGCGACATGTGATAGACCAAGGAGGGCGGGTGTGAGGCCAGAGTAAAAAGCACGGATACCTTCGCTGGCATACATTTTGCGTGCAGCATCCAGAGTGTTTTTGTAGTACCATGGGGCTCGATATCCATTACTTGCGGGTCGGAAACTCTGAGACATGAGTCTTGTTTTAATCACCCAGATCGGGTTTGTTGCTATGGTCGAACACGCTCCTGCTGTGATTGATGCGTATCCTCGGGCCAACCACCAATTGTCTGTAAGGGCGACATATCAGCACCAGCAAGTAAATCGAGGAAGAAAGAGAGGAAACGGATCGAGCAAACCTGTGCTTTTGGAGAAATATTCCCTAGATCTGTCATAAACCGTCAAATACATGGCCCACGTTGGAAGATATCCCAAAAGCATCGGTCCCAGCCCTCTATACAGCCCTCTAATACCCTCATCTCGCCATATCATCTTCCCCGTTCCTACCATCCCGCGATATAGGGTCCCGGATTCCACCAACTTGCCATTCCGCCGTACTTGAAACCCTCCCTGCGCTTGTAATTTTGTCTTGATCACATCCAAGGGACATGTCACGATTCCTGACGCGACACCGGCACTAGCCCCACAAAACGGCGTAATGTATGCTTGTGGAATCCGTGTGGAATAGATCTGGAGACTCCTCAAGAGCGATGACCCTGGCGGTGGAGTGGCACCGATATGTAATCCAGGAGTTGTTGATTGTCGATGGTCTGGCGAAACCCCCTGATGCGATGTCGAGCCGCCTACAGTCCTTGACGAGTTGGTGCGGCCCAGAGTCATTATGTCTTAGGACAACGAAGGGAGAAGGATCTCAAAATTTTTTATAGTCACTGTCGCAACATGGAAATAAACCGGTCAAACCGGGCCGCCGCGTCTTGATGCCGTTGCGGCGTCGGATCCCGTAATACAATTTTATTTTATTTTTTGCAGAGGGTCGCAGAGCGTTCACCATCGGTTGCAAAGTGGTATCTAAAGAGTTTCCCTTTTCGGGCCTGTAGATATGAATTTGGCGTGAATATAGTCTATTTAACTGCAGCGCCTGCGGGGTTCGTTACCCTCACGGCTCCGTGCAGGAGCGGCGCAACTCAGCGATCGGTCGACCATACACATGCCACAGTTGAGAGGAACACACCGAGCGAGAGAGTCGGGGTGCCCAGCGGCAAGAGATTGAGGAGGAAACAAGAATTGGCGACAGCTGTAATGAGTGGAAACCAACACAGATGTGAACGAGGCGGAGTTTAAGCCGATGTATAGCAGTTGTATTATTTGTTGTAGTGAAGGAGGGACGGAAGTTGCTCGGTCACGAGACATTCGGCAAATCCGAAGGCGGTCAGTCTCGCCGAGAGTGGTCTGAGCTTGGATTTTCCACAACCTCACCCCATCGCATCCACGCAGACAAACACAACGGAGTATACACTCTATACTACACTGTCTGTGCCGCCGCCAATTGCGCCGTTCAGATTACTCCAACTGCGCCTTTCGACTGCTGATTCCACCCTCTACACCATGTCCGCGCCCTCCCTCATCAATCACATCAACGTACGGCCATGGCTCAAGCGGATGCTGATGCCTCTCGCCAACTGGCATGCCAATGCTTCTGGATACAGACAACTAGGACTGAGGTAATTACACCTGCCCCAGAAACGATGCTGTGTATGCACAGATAGAGCGGGATGAGGGAGTGGCGGATTGTGAATACGGGAATCTTTGTGGAGGGGGGGAATGTCATTCTGTCGATATATATGTGATGAAGATGGATACTTGATTGATTGAGCGCGATGAAAGTGCTGACACATGACACACCTCTCAATTGCATCTATACAGAGCCGATGACCTGATCCCTGAAGAGAACGATACCGTCCAGCTGGCAATTCGAAGGCTTCCTCCCAAGGAAGCTTATGACCGTGTCTTTCGCATCCGACGCGCATTCCAGGTCAGTTTTGTCTAGCCTTCTTTTCGATCACTTCTGTCTTGTTGTCAATGGATAAAATCAATGAAGAGGGGAAGGAAATATCGATTTTGCTTACATATATACCCAAACAGTGCTCAATCGAACATCAGCTCCTCCCTATCGAACAGCAAACCAAACCAGAAGAGGTGAGCCTAATAATCCCTCCCACCCAAACTAACTTCTCTCTCCTTGCATAATCTGAATCAAACGTTTCCTTATTGGTCGATAAAAATATTTCCATTGATTTCTGAAACTTGCACTCACCCTTCCTTCTTCCTTTTAAAAAACGGTCCACTATCCCAAAAACAATGGAAACTAATAGAGCTATTTTGTCAAAATTTTAGGACGTCGAATATCTCAGCCCCATCATCCGAGAGATCGAGCGTGAGAACAAGGAACGGGATGAACTTGATAACCTTGTCATCAAGCGATAAAATGTGTATATGTTGGTTAAAGGAGTTGGGGTTGTATGATGTCGCTGGAATTTTGAAATTGCTGGCTGAGAGACAAGAATGTACGAATTTGAAACAGCTCCTCTCCATATCACCTCTTTTATATTTTGGACTCAGAAATCAACCACCTGGGTGATTTGCGAATGGCAATTGGTTGCTGCTGTTGCTGTGGCTGTCTGATTAGGGGTTGCATGTTTCAGGGATAACTTCTGCTGCTGTTCTGTACAGGTAATATACTTTATACTACATAGATGGAATGGATATATTTTCTTTTGATATCGTCCAAGCATTTAAACAAGGAGGGAGCCGCGTAAGTCGACAAGATGGCGTGGTCAGCGATATGCCTCTCGGGTATATATCTATATGAAGAATATATACAATTATATTGGTAAGATGGTTAATAATAACAGCATAAGACACAGCATCGCCAAAGCAATATATCCAAATACAAAACGCAATGCAAATTATTCATCCCCTACATCCCGTTCAATCCTTCTGCTCGACCTACCCCACCAACTTCACTGCATGATCGAAATATCCACATTCTCAATCCGCCACATATACCACATCAACAGACTCCTAATTGCAAATAAATAGCACAAGTTCAGCCACATGAACCAATCAGTCCAATCACCCAACCCCTCCCCCAAGGGATTGAAGGCTAGGTGGAAAAAAGAGGAGTTATAAAGCACTCACCGATACGGAGAAAATGGCGCCGCAATCTCTAGCATTTCCTTCTCGGACATGTACTTGAATTTCCCACTGCCTTTGGCTTTAAGTTTACTGACATCGCGGCCGACGAAAGTGGCCATTCCTCTTCTGCAGAAGTAAAAGGGGGTTAAAACGCGGAGACGGACTGATATATGAAATGAAACCGGGAAAAAGAAGAAGAAGAAGAAGAAGAAAAAAGGGGCAAAGGAAACATCAAACACTCACTGAACCCCCAAATCCCCCGTGGAAAACACATCCATCCTCTTCAGCCCAAAGCACTCAAACATCTCCACAGACCACCGCCCCAGTCCTCGCACCGCAATCAGCTTCTCCAGCACCTCCTCATCGCTCGCCTGCAGCAGCATGTGGGCACTCAGCTCGCCGCTGGCAAACTTTTCCGCCAACCCCTGGATATACTCCGCCTTGCGCTGCGAAAGACCGGCCGTGCGCAGCGTTGCGACACCGCATGCAGCTACCTGTGCGGGGGTCGGGAAGCGGTCGTCACGGTCATAGCGCATTTCCGCACTCTCTTTCGCCTCCCCGACGCCTTTCTCGGTGGCATTCACACCGTTATTACTTGCTTCGGCATTACCATTACAATCAAGACACCCAAACAAGCCCAAAAACTTCCTCTTAATGCTCTTCGCCGCCGCCCCGGACACCTGCTGCCCAATAATGCCGCTGACAAGCGCGTTGAACGGGTCAATCTCCTCCGCCAGGCCCCGCGGGGGAAAACAGCGGACACGGATGCTTATCGATAATGGGCTTCAGTTGCGGTGCTACGGTTATCAGATGTGCAACCGCTTCTTCGAGGACAGTGCCTGTGGTCGTTGTTGG